GTGAAAGGTGTACAGGGTTGGGACTGAACACTGAATTGATGTGCATTATTCTTATTGATTTTAATAGCCTTATAAATTCAACTATATTTTATAGATAAAAAACACAAAAGCATTCCTTCTTCAGATCTTATACTTGAAGATAAAGTAGAGTTCGGTTTAAGACAACTCCAAATTTCCGACTTAATTTGAAACCTACGGGCCGATAAATTTGAATTCAAGGTCTCCAAACTACCTGCTGTATACATTCTGTCTAAAGAAAATAGGACATTCCTCTATGCTGTGAGGAAGACGTCAAATAATGCCCATAAAAGTTCGTAGTGGACGTGGATGATGCTTTATACTTCACAGACAACATTAATGAATTAACGAAAACGATTTGTCCTGAAAGAACACTTCATGGTCTTAAAGAATCTCACAATTAGAAACGTTTTTTTAAAAAAATCGGAAGATACGCTTTAGTCGATTATAAATTCCACAGGCGAGGTAAGTTGCTACCAAACGTGTATAGCAAAAAGATTTTGTGCATGTTTTCCAGAAAATACATTTTAATCTATAAGAACCTTCAAAATTCATTAGAAAAATGCCCACGACTTCAGCGGCCATGTTTTTTTTCACAAAATTCTCTTTTTAGGCGGTTAAAGGGAAAATAGCCTGCAGCCTTTAGTGTCTAAAATACCTTGACATTAGGCTGGATGATACTCAGTATTGCAATCCAACCAAAGTAATTGGCTCGAATCGAAAGCACCCTCCAGAAGTTCGATCGCCGTTTCATGAGTGAGGGGATCCACCAGATATCAGCATGAACACGGTGATATCATTCGATCAGGACTGCACAGGCATCGGAGACAAGAAAACTATGTCAACGACGGAGGCCAGTGGGTCACTGGAACAGACAGGCTGAGTCCATTTTTCAACCACTGCCGGTCAGTAATACCCAATGCCGGAGCGTATGTGTCAGGGCTTTGAACCCGACGTAAGTCGGCCAGTTAGTTCAACATCACAACTCAGTCACTGGATAACTATCCTTAGGCCTCAAGATCGTGAGTATACGCATGGCTGATGAGCAGGAAAAGTCAGAAGCAATCGTTTCGCACTCCCCTGGCTTTCGCGGTGACATTACTCGATTGCTAACTCCTTGTAGATGTGCCACTGCTTTTGAGACCTTACGACTGAAAATACGCAGCGGCGATTATCGTCATGCAATTGGAAGAGATCGGTGCACTACACTCCCAGGCCTACCAAAGAGCAGGCCGAAAATGTAACCCAAAGGACAGATGAAGCACTTTATTCTATTCCACTGAACAGCCTGAGCGGTCTGAACGCCGCTAAAGCCGTAGCTATGACAGAAATATGGAAATTTAAAAGAAGATGTCTATGATTATGGATGTTAGAGTCTTTTTATCAAAACTACGACCTTTCAGAAATGCCGGCAAAACAAACGTCCGTGCTAAAAATGCTGCATAATCTCTCACCCCATTTTTATCCACCGCGATGATGTGGCGCGCTTGAACGATGGTGACCCGATAGTTCTTTGGATCGACCACAAAGTTGTCCCAGTCGAAATCACCGAGGTAGAGGGTGAAGTTGGCGTCAGCCCGCCAGTTGTTACCGCCGGCAGTGGAGTCGCTGCTGTCCAACTGTTTGGGCAGTGCAAGGAGTCCCCGAAGGACCCTTAGACGCTTCTCGGCGGAGGCCTAAAGGGAGAAGGAAGTATACTTGGAAAAAAACGCACGAATGCACATTTTGGTATTCAGAGCTATAACTGAGGAGGAATAGAGGCGCGATCTTCTTTGCTATTTTGGTCTATAAGGAAGTATGCCAGTAAGCACCTTCAGGTCAACATGGAATCCCTCCTTACTTCAGAGAAAATTCCTTTAGCAATGATGTTACATGACAAAAAGTGATCTTAGATACCAGAAAAAAAGACTCCTTATCTAGCTTTATAGGAACGGTAGGCGCAATACACACCTATGTTCACAACTGGCCGCATCGTATGCACTGTGGTCCGGTAGCCATCTCTTTGATTTAAAACCGGATAAAACTGACCATTAGCTCTGAATGATCCTGTATTAGAACTTGGTTCTTGATCAACGACAAGAACGTGAGATGTTGTGTCGAAATTTGACCGCCGACAGTACATTTATGCATGGAGCATTCACTTTCATGTTGTCATTGCACTGTGCATTTCACAGTTGCCTAGGATTCCAAGACTACGGAAGCTGAACGGAGGTAGCTGCCGGTGGCTCATATTTCAATGTGCATTTATGTCACCAAATGACAGAATGGATCATTCTACACATTGTTAGCTAACATATGGCGCTGGGACCAACACCTTTACTATAGACTAAAAACACTGATTAGGGAGTCAAC